TGACGATAGCTAAAATACTCAAAAAGCTTGGAAGGCAATCAAAGAAAATCCAGGGCTGTAGTCCCTGACATCAGTTACAATTGTGTCCATTCTTCCTCCTCAACCTACTCTCTCTCAAATGGTGCCTCTTTTCAGGCCCACTGCTATTGCTTAAATTCAGGCCTTCAACATCCCTTGGTCCAATTATTCTACCAAACTCCTTTCTGGCTTCCAGTCACCACGGCCTCTCTGCCCTAGCACCTAATCTCTCCTCTGCTGCTAAGCTAATGGTCCTTCTGAGACACAAATCCAGTCATGTTATGTCCCTACTTAATAACTCTTCGAAGCTCACCTATAGCCAACAATTTCCAGTCTGGAATCAAACACCATCTACTCCAGGATTTCCCTAGCCGCCTCCTGCTTGTAGGCCCAGGAGAATAGCAGGCTAAGTCATTCTTCTTTTACCCAGTTCACACTGCCCCTCTGCTCAAAAAATCCGCCTTCCCTAACCCCCATTCATCAATCCACAGTACATCTCTCTATTCATCTCTTTTTCTACAGCGTTGTTACAATCTCTCATCCCACCAACAGAACATAATTTTCTCCTTTGTGTCCTCAGAGCACTAGATATATATGCTTCCATTACACTGTCAGTAATTAATTTTTTACACACTTGACTCCTCGCTACTGTGATATAAGCCCCTTAAAAAGTAGAGACAATGTCTTACCATTTTACCAACAGCACATAGTAGTTTCTGACACAGGAGTTTTATTCTGTATTGCCTAACGAATAAAAAGAACGTGCCTTCCATAAACTATTATAGCCTTTCTCTTAACACAAATTTTCAATTCAGTCTAGGTTCCTTCCAGCTCCACAAGGGCAGAGCTCCAAACTTTTTTTTTTAAGGAAGGCATTATGGAAAGATATGATCCACTTTATAGTCAACTTTTCAGAACACCTACAGAGTTGAGAAATATGTGTTCACAAACCCACAGAACAAATCCCGGAAGTTCCTAGCGGGTAAAGGGAATGAGGCAGGAGATTCTATAGTCAACGTCAGCAAATCTCCTTCTGTGAAGAATTAAATGGCATTGTCATATTAAACATTCGGTAAAATGCTGAAGTTAAGGAAACTGGTTAATTTCAGCACTGACTTTGGGCAAGTAACTCAATACTACTTTGCCTCAGTTTTCTCAGCTGTTAAATGTGGATAATATTATCTACTTTACAGTTATTGCAGGGATCGAATGAGATAATATCAAGTGTTCAGGACAATGCTTGGCACACAGTGACTGCTCAATAAATGCTAGCAAGTTTTAATATTTAAACTGCCATTTTCTAAGCATATTTGGCCACAAACTGTATTTTATTGTCAGCAATTATGAACATTGCATGCTACACTCTTTGAGAAAACACTGCTATAGAATAAATATTCCACTATAGTACTCGTTTTGGAGACACATGGCTCCAGACTTTAGGAAAAACAAAGGCAATCTGATAGCTTAAATATAGGACAATTCCTTTGGTTTCTCTGTGGTGGGGCAAACATCGAGATTTCAACTGTCACAGCCTTCCAAGGCTGTGATGGAAAGAAGTTTGTTACAGCTAAATCTCACTCCACATTTTGTGTTCATAGATAACAGTGTGTTCATCAAATTTCTATTTTCTTTGCACTAAGGAATTTGCTATTTAATAAGACAAATAACCCACCCAGTCCATCTTTTTCCTTTAATAAATCAAAAGATTTATACTGGGCAAACTTAAAGTAGAAAATCCTGAACTCAAGTTTGTTGGAATAAAAAATTATGCAATACTTTGTATGTGAGCATCTGTATGAAATATCATAGTTGTCATCAAGAAATCCATAATGCCTAAAAAGTTTAGGAACCACTGAGTTTTTAAATCAGTTCCATATGTTGTTTAAATACATATTAAACATCAAGCAGTATCAAGGGTATATGTAGTGAAAGGTAAGTCTCTCCTCAATCCTAATCCTTACCCAGAGCCAACCACTGTTATAAATTTTTAACATCCTTCCAAAGATAGCTAGTTCATGCATGTGTTTGTTAGTAATAATATATCAACCCTCCATTTTTACATAAATAATAATAATATATGATACTATATTGCAACTAGCTTTTTTCACTTGGCAATTTAACTTAGAGATCTATCTATGTCAACACATAGGTAAATTATTTGGGGAATAAACATACAAAAATTTAAGGCATCCTTATGATTGATACTTAGGTTGCTACCAATGTCTTACTATTTACAAATAATGCTGAAAATAAACATCCTTGAAAATATATCTTAGGCAAGAAATTTAGCATAAAAATTGCTGAACAAAAAGTATAGATCGCTAAACTGCCCTCCAAATGTTGCCCATGTTATACTCTCAACAATACTTAATTCCAACACACTCAAGAAAAGATTTTCAGATTTTCTGTTTTTTGTTAATCTGACAGGTGAAAAATGATAACTCATGGCTTTAATTCATGTGGCCTATTATGGATGAAAGAACCTCTGATTTCAGAGGAGTTATATTCATGAAGACTTAGTCATGGAAACAAAAGGCATCATCAAAACTGGAACAATAATGGAATTCAATAGAGAACCCAACTATGCACAGAAATCCAGCTTACCCACAGGTTCAACTCACCATCTAGTAGCCAGTGCTGATCACGCCTATTCTCCAGCTCCGACATCATTAAGCGTGTGATCACATGATCTGGAACCAAAAGACCTTTCCCTATGTACTGCTTTGCCATATCACCAATTTCTATTAAAAAGACAGGAAAAAGAGACACTCAAAAAAGCTTCAAAAAAAATAAAAAGCTTACAAACTCTTTTCTTGATCATTTTGCCTTCTCTCCCATTCTGCCCTGTTGGTATGGGGGTAAAGTTATAGGTAGATGTTTTTACAGCAAGGTTTTAAATATTGTCTTCAAAAATGGTGGCCCCTGTCTCTCATTTGTCTCCCAAAGAATTATAAAAGCAGATCTTGAAGATAGACACAGACAGAAATAAAAATAAAAGAAAATATAAATTAGGCAAAGAGAAAATAGAGTAAGAAACAAAGTCTGAGTCTAGAGGGAGCGTGGTACACAAAAGGCAGGGAAAGAAGTCTTGGCTACTTCCTAGAGATGAGCTACACACTGGATGCTGAGCCTCCCGACAGTTTGTAATAATAAGGAAACGTAATCAACCACATGGTTCATAATATGCAGAAAAGTAAAGGAAGCTGAGAAGCATAATCAGTCCTTAGAGACCAAAGGAAAAAAATTTCCACTGGTTTTCTAGAAAGAATGCTAGATAATACAAACAACAGGTTTCTTTCTTTTCATGAGCCTCAGTGTAAGCAAGTGGCACCTTGCAACATAGTTGTAAAAGCAATTCAGTGTTATTAGTGGAATGCCAAGTTCACAAAAGGATGAGAATTTTTAAAGTTATTTTCAGAGGAAAAAATGCTTCTATCTTAATTTAAAATGAATTCTTATTTGTAGAAATTGTGAGTTGAGTTCGGCAGAACAAATTATCAATTTAAATCAGTTAAATTTCTAGGAACTGATTTTTTTTTTTTAAATCATGATGAAGTCTTCCGCTCTCCAGGGAACTTATAATGAACCATTAGGAACCACATTCTTGACAGGCCAATTGAATTCTTATAAAAACATAAAGCGGAATTACATTACTGCGGGGGGAGAGCTCAAAAATCGTTTTGCCCCCACCATCACCTTGAATTCAAGGTAGAGCCTTTTCTTCCCCAGAATGAGTCTACACTCCTAGCTCCAACAGTGAAAAATGAGCTGTGAGGAGCTCTACATCACTTGATTACTACTACTGCACAAAAGTAGCTCAATGTTAGGCCCAATGACACGGATTCAGTAACATGCTGCAAGAATCAGAAGACAAATGATAACCACATTCCTGAATGTGGCTGAACATGAATGTGAAGAAAGCGCATTCATTTCAGCAAGTATTCTTTGATTGCATACTATAAAACAGGTAATATTTTACAAAGGTAGCAGTGACGAAAAGTTGCAGCTTACTAATATTTAAGCAGTATTACCTTCCTTAAGAGCAACAATAACAGTCATTAACTGAGTATATCCACGTACTGTGTTTTAAGCATTTTGTGTTAGTTCATCTAATCCTCACTTCAAATAGGTCATACCCATTTTTTTTTAAATGACAGCTTTACTGAGATACGACATATGCCATAACATTCACCATTTTAAAATGTACAACTCAGTAGTTTTTAATACATTCTCATTGTTGTGTAATCATCGCCATCACCTAATTTCAGAATATTTTTATCTCACCAGGAAGAAACCTTATACCCATTAGCAGTCACTCACCATTTCCTCCTCCATCCTAGCCCCTGGCAACTACTAATCTACTTTCTGTCTTTATAGATTTGCCTGTTCTGTACATCTCATAATAAACGAAATCACACACAACATGTGGTATTTTGTGTCTGGTTTCTTCCATTTAGCAGAATGATTTCAAGGTTCATTCATGTTGTACCATATACCAGTACTTGAATCATTTTCATGGTTGAATATTTCTACTCCACTGTATTTTGTCTAGGCATATATCAGTTAACAGGCATTATGGTTGTTTCCACCTTTTGGCTATTATGAATAATGCTGCAATGAACATTTCTGTACAAGTTTTTGTGTGAACATATGCTTTCAGTTCTCTTGGGCAATACCTGTATGATATGTATGTTTTGTAGCTGAAAAATCACTGTCAGATAGTATGCTGGGAGTAATTGACAAGTTTGGTGCTGTTTTATTCTGCCACGGTCAGGCCAGCCTGCCCTAGAACCCTGTTCTTAGTCCCATCCACCAAACTTTAAGGTACATTTATTTATACAACAAATACACATCTTTCAAGGTGAGAGACCAATATGTGAACTGGCTCCAAATATCCCCCAAGGAAACAGTGAAAGCATAAGGAATGTCTTATCTGGAAAAGAGAAGATCCAGAGAAGGACATAATAACAATTTATCCATAAACTGATACTTCACACACGAAGAGGGCATTATTTTATTCACTCCCCAAACACAGAATTAGGACGAGTAGTGAGAATTGCAAGTGGATAGAAAAAGTTGCCTAAGGAAATATTTGAATGGAAACTCAAAGACTGCCTAGGAAGGGATATTGTAGAGGGATTCTGACAACTGGATTGAGAATGTTTTGGGTCCCTTCAGATGGAGGATTTATGGTATAGGGGTACATATGGATTCAGTAATTTAGTGAAGAACGGTATTCAAAATGATGCCCCTGAGACCTCTAAATGTCTGCTAAATGGCTCCATATGTACCTCCCACTGATATCTCAAACTATTATGTCCAAAATCACACATCCTCTCCCATTCTTCTTGCCCTAGTGTTTCTTGTCTCAGACAATGGCATCACTCTCTTCAGATGTCACCTAAGATTAAACACCAGTTGTCTTGATTTTTCTTTTTTTTACTTCTCTCATTCTTTATATCTAATTGAATATCAAGCTCTTGAAATTCTACTTCCACAGTGTCCCTCAGACCCAAGACAACTGATCAAAACATAATAATGCGACAGGAACTGTTGAGAACAAACACGAGCAAACTGTGAGGATGGCTGCTGAAGAAGCTATGTCATTGTGAGGAGAGAAAAGTACGATGATGGTCTTCGGCTACTTGGGTAGTTAACGGGAATGCATGGCTTCTCAGACAGCACAGAGTAAGGAAGGGAGCAGTGAGTTATGCTCCAAAACCTAATTTATAGATCTTTATATAGTGAAGAGGAGGTAACTGGCCAAAGAATCAGCAGACTGATAAAGAACCCCACAGCTTAGATCACAGTGGGTCTTTTACCCATACCAACCTCTGACCTGCTACAAAATCAAAAGATTGCTTTTGGGGTTTTCTACACATCAGTCAACCAAAATAATCGCAATACCTAAACAATCGATTCACAGTGCTTAGCTTACTTCACTTCTCAATAGCATTTGAGATGGCTCCGTTGCATAAATACAACATATAGAGTGAGCCTTTTAAAATGCAAGCTAATCATAGCCCTCCAATAGCTTTCCTTCTCTTGTAGCCAAAGTCCTCGCCTTGGCTACAAGGCCCTGTGTGATCAGGCCCCCATTCTTTAACCCCATCTCTCATTGCCCACTCTGTTCTAGCCATACTGGCTTCCTTGTAGTTTCCTGAAGACCACAAGTACTTGCCCACTTAAGGGACTTTTTACTTGTTGTCCCACAACATTCTTTCTGCCACAGTTTCACGTGGATCAAGCCTTCACTTCACTCAGGTCTCTGATTAAGTATCACCTCAGATAGATCTTCCGCCCTACATAAATAGCACAGGAGAAACACACATCTCCATTACCCTCATCCTACTTTGCACTGTTTTCTAGAACTCCAGACTTTACATGTCATATATTGATGTATTTGTTTACCTAATTTTCTGCCTCACCCAACTAATTAACTCAGTGAATAAAAGTAAAATATTTTGTTCAATGCCATATCCTCAGTACTTAGAATACAGTCTGGAATGTATTAGATGCTCCATAAAAATTTGGTGAATCAATGAATGAACATCTTGAAGATGACAGAAAAACATTTTCACTCGGTAAAATGGTTGAATATATCTGATCATCCTGTACAGGTATTGCAGAACCATGATCTCAAGATCAACACAGCCCAACCTTGTCAGGTATCAACTTTTTCCGAGGAAATATGAGACACAGTATGATTAGTACTAGTTGAGTTAGCCATGTTGGGTTTCATAACTGAGTCATTTTTTTGGCATTTCAAACCATAAATAGAGATGAACCAGGTCATAGAAGGAGAAGTGAGGAGAAGAAAATACCATGAGCCAATGTTGCAGAGGCATGAGGCTGCTTGGCATACCTGGAAGAGCTTCAAGTCGTGACAGCTGAAGCAGAGCACGCCATGAGAGAGAGAGCTAGACGAGTAGGATGAGAAGTATAGACTTTGAAAGATTTGTTTTAAAAATAGGTAGTTTTAGAAATGCCATTCCCACAGCCAAGACCAGCTACTTAATTTGCAGGGCCCAATGCAAAATGAAAATGTGGAACCTCCTTATTCAAAAATTAAAAATTTCAAGATGGCAATAGCAAAGCAACAAATTAAGTACAAGGCTTTGCATGACTACACAGGTCACATGCCCACCACAATGTGCAATTTGAATGGTGTTGCAGTGGTAGAAGTCAAGGAGGCTGTGATAATAATCGAAACACAAGATGAAGGCCTGCACTAAAGCAGAAGCAGCGTCAGAAGGCCTTCTGCCCTTGAGAGGGTACCTTGAGCTAACCCAATGTAGATGAGCAACTCCAAGCTTAAAAAACTCTATGGAAGACATCCAGAACCATCTTAATCCAACTTACTAGTTAAGAGAAAGATCTAAGCACAACATACTTTTCCAACTATTTGTGGCAGCCTTGGCTCTTCTCTGGAGCAGGACAGACAACACATCCTCCATCTGATACAAAATCAAACTCCCAACACGCCTTTAAGTCCCCACCATGAAAATCTAGACAGGTCAGCAGCCACAGCAAAATGGATTTAACAAAGTACCTGCATCTGAATGAAGACCTCACGACTATTAAAAAAAAAAACAGAAATAAAACACTGGTCAGAAGACAGAGGCCCATTCCAGAAAACAGAACCTTCATCTGCCTTTGTCCATTTACTGGAAAGATAACGGAGCATCATTAAATGCTAACACTAGCATGTTTGGCTAAAACATATATATACCTGCTCTAA